GAGTAAAATACAAATTCATACGAAAATGCCAATAAACTTGAAAAAGTTACAAATTGCCATGAGTTTGTGACAGAAGTGCAAGGAGAAAATAAGCAAGTAGTCAAGAGAAGAGCACATGCTGAGCAAAAAAAACAAAAACATTACAGCTGTTCATTCATACTTCTGGCTATTGCCTGAGGTATATAAGAGTACATGACAAATGTCTCGAAGAGAGAGCCTTGTGGCCAGTGAAAACAGCCTCAAACAACTAGATATTTAGAAAGGAATCTGATGGCAGATGCCATGAATGTTTTGGGAGTTTGTCAGCAAGACTTTTTACAAGTCTGTCAGTTTCAAATGAACATGTACCCATTGTTTACTCGCCCTCAGTGGTTTTAAACCTTTGTGCGTTAAAGATATTTTGAAGGAAGCTGGAAACCTGGAAACGTTGACTTCCATAGTTGGAGTGGATGCAGGTTTCTTAAAAATTTCTGATTTTTATGTGTTCAGAAGAAAGAAACTCATAGGTTTTGAACAAGGGTAAGTAAACTGTTAAACCCAGCAAGTGAAGGTAACTCAAACCATTTAAGTTTAAAAACTAATTCTAATGAGTACTGTCAACTCAATCCATTTGAGAGAATGAAGCAATTTGAGCACAGGAAAACCCAATAAAGGAAGATATCTCAAAACAAACTGAATACTGTAAAACCCAATAAGTTAAGGCAACTCAAACCATTTGAGGAGACCGATTGCTACAAACCATTTGAATAAAAGAAAAACTACTGTAGATGAGCACTGTGAACTTACTTCATTTTAAGTTAAAGTAATGAGGTGTTTAATTAACTTATTACCTTCAACACTGAGTTCAAAACTCTTTTCAAATGAGAAGAATAAACTTTCAGTCAATTTTGAGTTAAGTGCACTCATTTTATTTGATAAAGCTAACTGTTGGGTTTTATACTGTAAAAGCTAAAAAGTTAAGGTAACTCAAACCATTTGAGGAAATCGATTGCAACAAACCATTTGAGCTCAAAAACTAATCCTAATGAGTACTAAACTTAATCCATTTGTGTAAATGAAGCAATTTGAGCTCAGTAAAACCCAATAAATGAAGAGAACTCAGATCAGTACTGTAAAACTTAATAAGCTAAGGAAACTCAAACCATTTGAGGAAACTTGCATTAAACTATTCGATATAAAAAAACTAATCTATATGAGTACTGTGAACTTACTCCATTTAAGTTGAAGTAATGCGGTATTAAATTAACTCATCACCTTTAACACTGAGTTCAAAACTCTTTTCAAATGAGTGGAATTAACTTTCAGTCAACTACAATTATTTCCTTTGCTAAAGTTGTCAGGGTTTGACCGTGTGAAAGCAAATGTTACAGCTAAACTTTCATTTAATTTCATGTATTTATTTTGCACGACACTGTAAAAACTACACAACTCCTTCATGTTGTCTTAACACAAATCGATTAGGATAACGGTTTCTGCAAATTTAAGTAGATTTAACATTAAACAATTAGGTTGACCTCCAAAAACCATCAAGAATTGTGTTGATTCAGCTTATTTTAAATAAGTAGTTGGAACAAGCTGCAAAAATATTTTTTTAATAAACAAAGGAAAGTCCTCATTATTGACCAAGGACGTAAATGTACCCGAATTAGCCCAGAGACTACGCTGTAAAACCCAATAGACAATTTTATCAAATGAAATGAAAAAAATGACTGAAAGTTAATTTTACTCATTTGAAAACAGTTTTGAACTCAGTGTTGAAGGTAATGAGTTAAATAAATGTATACTTCAACTTAAATGAAGTAAGTTCACAGTACTCATATAGATTAGTTTTTTAACTTAAATGGTTTGTTGCAATCAGTTTCCTAAAACAGTTTGAGTCACTGTAACTTATTGGGTTTTATAGTACTCACTTAATTTGAGTTCTCCACATTTATTGGGATTAACCTTGCTCAATTTGCATTATTTAATCAAATAGATTAAGTTCACAGTACTCATTAGAATAAGTTTTTAAACAAAAATGGTTTGTTGCAATCTGTTTTCTTAAATGGTTTAAGTTACCTAGACTTATTGGGATTTACAGTGTGTAAGCATTGACATCCATAGAAAAACAAATGTAATGGTCACAGGTTTCATCATAATATCTCATTTTTACATGTTCAGAAGAAATTAATTCATAGGTTTTGAATAAGGGGAGGTAAATAATTATAGAATTTATATTAATGATAAAAATGCTAGGTTAAACACAAATCCTTCATTTTGTCCCAAATCAAATAAGTTAACTGAATCTTTTTTTTTATTTTTTACAAATTTATTGAACATAAAAATTGTCCACCAAAAATAAGAACTGTTTTGTTTCAGCTCAAATTAAGTCTTCTTTTTTTTTTGTGTGTGTGTGCCGACATATATAATTTAATTAGTGGATACACACTGACTCACAATGACTCGTCTGTAAACAGCAAGAATGGGGGATTAGTTTTCTGCATCGTATATAAGTAGCAGGATTTTGCATATAAAAGATGTCTTAGTTGACCAAATGGCCTATTGTGAAAGTACGGGTAGGTAAAATGCAAAATGTTGCCGCTTTTACTTGTATTTGCAACACAATATGCATACTGACCAAAGCAGGGGTCCTGATAGCTCCAGCATCACACCTTGCTTTGTCTTGTAAATGTAGATAAATTACCCTACAGCCTTCGTCAGGAAAAGACCAGCCTTTCACAAGTCACAGCACAGTTGACCCAAAACTGAAAATTCTGCGTCAGCAAAGATATTTGAGTTTCGTATTTCTGTTGAACATAAAATAAGATAATTCGAAGAATGTTGGTTGCTGGCACCCATTGACTTCTATAGTATTTTTCTGCTGCACTGAAAAACCTGATAAGTTAAGTTAAATAAGACTGTTTGAGGAAACTGATTGCAGCAAACCATTTAAATTTTGAAACAAAATGGTTTGAGTAGTGTACACTTATATATAAATATACACACAGTTGAAGTCAGAATTATTAGCCCCCATTAGAATTTCTTATTTATTTGTTTAAATTTCCCAAATGATGTTTAACAGAGCAAAGACATTTTCACAGTATGTCTGATAATATTTTTTCTTCTGGAGAAAGTCTAATTAGTTTTATTTTGGCTAGTATAAAAGCAGTTTTTAATTTTTTAAAACCCATTTTAAGTTTAAAATTATTAGCCCCTTTAAGCTATATATTTTTCTGATAGTCTACAGAACAAACCATCATTATACAATAAATTGCCTAATTACCCTAACCTGCCGAGTTAACCTAATTAACCTAGCTAAACATTTAAATGTCACTTTAAGCTAGAACTGTCTTGAAAATATTTAGTCCAATATTATGTACTGTCATCATAGCAAAGATAAAATAAATCAGTTATTGGAAACAAGTTATTAAAATTATTATATTTAGAAATGTGCTAAAAATCTCTCTGTTAAACAGAAATTGGGGGAAAAAATAAACAGGGGGGCGAATAATTCTGACCTTAACTATATATATATATATATATATATATATATATATATATATATATATATATATATATATATATATATATATATATATATATATATATGCAACATTACATAGTAGCCTATAAGGTCACATATGTGAACAATGTTGGCCTTTAAGAGTTCCTTCTCACAGTTTTAGATTCAATTAATGCATGTAAAGTCTCTTAAAAAGAAATCATAAAAAAATGCACACAAAATAGTCCCGGAACACACATTTCTGTGTAATGAAAGTTGTGTTTTTTAAAACAGATATCTAGTGTTGTTTTGTGGAAGACGCTCAGTTTGAAACTAAAAACATAAAATTGTCATTTTAAAATCATTTGATGGACTTATACGGTGCATTTTCTGGATGATTAAATAATGCAGGGAAACTAATATGATTCATAATTGCTTCTTGTATGACTTGAGACTTTTAAACTGGAATTTCATTGATTTAGTTCAGTTTTAAATGTCTTTTTATTATTCAGCTCTGGTGGTGATCTTTGGTCGTCAGACGACCATATCTGTTAAAGACGCATGAACACTGCATGAATGGTTGTAAATGCAACATAAAACAGCTCTCTTTGAAGAATGAAACATTTCAGTATATTTTTAATAATCCTATTATTATTTCAAAGTCATGAAAAACGGAATGTATGTACGTGGTGTCTACATTTTTGAAAATACAGTCTAACCTTGCGCTTAAACAACTAAAGAAGGAAACAAACAATGCTTTTAATAGTCTACTCTTTCAAAGAGAAGTGGGGGAGGGCCGTTAACGACATTATACACAAAAGCACCCGAATCGATTGGCTGAATACACGCAACAGTTCCGCTGATTGGCTGCTGACAATTCAAACGCACGTCCTCCGCGAAGGCCCCGCCCATTTCAGTCTATTTCCCGTGTGGAAGACCCCATGAAATGCCCCTGAAACTCCCGACGGCGATTGTTGTCTTTCATTCATTCGCAGCTCGCGGACCTCGCTGGTGTGCACACTTTGGACTTTGTCCCGACCGCTCCTTTAAAAGGGTATGTATTACATTTCACTTGCTCGTTTTAAAGCTATTTTAGCGATTTTATTTCTACACGAACGCTTGAAGGAGAAAACGGAAACTGCAGTAAGAAGTTTGGTTAAAAGCAGCCTTCGAGCAGGATTAGCAAACACTAACGTTAGGTTACACAGATTGGCGGGCTCGTGTGGCGCGGTTTTCCAGTCTGATTTATTACCTGCACGAAGCTACAGCGAATTTACGCTTTGGGTTAAAAATGCTCGCTTTTATTGCAGTGAAGTTAATAAGGGCTTTTTTGACATTATTTTTAGCCAGTTTTGAAACAAAGATCTTGCGTTGTTTGTATTACATGGTAAAATATGTTTTTTTGAAAAAAATCTGTGGTATTTACACATGTTTTACCTCATAAGTGTGGCATTTTAGCCAATTTAAAGCTCCTCGCGGTGTAAACAACCGAATTGGGCTTTACGCGCTCGGGGATTTAAAAGGGCGCGAATCTCGCGCGGTGTTCGTGTTCCGGTTCGAACTGGAACTGCGGGGTATCCGTAGAAACCGTCGTTCGCCTTTAGCTTTCTGTTTTAAAGATCCGTCGCAGTACAGCGAACTTCATACGAATTTCACCGCTGCAGTTTTAAGGTAATATCCGGTGGTTTAACCCAGGATGTCGTGACTTGAAATATTTTTGCTAGCGACCGACATTGTGCTCAGCACGAGTTCGCGCCTGAATTCAGGCCTAGCGCGTGTTGTAAACAAACGGGAAGCCGGTGGTTCCGCACTCCCCTCCATTACGCTCACTGTAAAGTTAGGGATTTTGCGTATTTTCGACTAAAGTAACTGATCGTGTGTTTTATTTACACTTTCATTATTATCATCAGCTAAAGTGCTTGTTGTTCGGCTGTGCTAACGGACTCTTTCCATGCAGTGTTCCAGTAAGACACAATGAGTGATTCTGGCAAGGACACAGTGGCGACTAAAGAGAAAGATGGAGCAGAGAAGAGAGGACGTGGAAGACCCCGAAAACACCCACAGGTGCTGTTCTGCTCTCCAGCGCGGGCTGCTGGTGTTCTCGTATAGCTGAGGCGGTAACCCTGCCCTTGTTTTGCGTTAAGATTTTTTTAAGTAGATGCCTGTTGATTTTTTTTTACACATTTGGCAGTCTTGCACCTCAAGTGTAACCCCGTTTTTTGTGCGATAAGCTGGTTTAAGCGCTCCGCGCTATCAGTTTACGTCAGGGTCTTTGTTTAGTTGCGTCTAGCGCTCATTTGCACACGCTTCACATGTGCAGTGGTCATCTGTAGTGGCAGGATGACCAAGGCCTGTAACATGATCTCTTTAAACCAGCAGTAACCCACTTACTGCTTCAGCTGCGCGCTGATTGGCCGCCGGAGAGTGCCAGCGTCTGATTGGCTCATCCCACTGTCAATCACAGGGCCTCGCGAGTGCATTGGGTTTAAAGTTTCTATTACTCACCCGTGTAATCAGAGCCTTTGAGTAGTAATCCATGGCCACCATCATACAACAAGACAGTGCTCGTCCTGTAGCCGTCGTTTATCTTTTTATTTTAACAAAAGATGATTTGGTTAAAACAATGAGTAAACATTGCCTCATTTGTAAAGTAGTTGATTTTATTTAAATATTTTTACTTTATTTGGCTAACTGCAAAACTTATCTGTTTACAAAATGTAGGTTTATTTATTCTCCATGCTGCAGTTTTGAATGCTCTATCTTATTTTCAGAAACATTGTAATTGGCTACTGGCTGAATGCACCTGCTAGCAAGTTTTCTGACAAGTTCTCATTGATGTAAACTTGTCCTGCAGCATCTGAAGTAGATTGTATGCATGGCTCACACCATCAAATTGCAAACTTGTGACAGGAAATCAATTTTACACACGTCCTGAGCATCTAATTCTCCTGGTACTGCAGTGCTAGTTGGGCTGTGGTGATCAACACTATTTGATTCTCTTTTTGGCAACTGATGACCGCGTGCCACCTGTTGGTCTTAAAGTAGCAACCAGTTGCGTTGACTATGATGACCACATGCTTTAAGTTATGCACCAGTGCGCGGTTGAGCCACAGTTTGCTTTCATGCATTTTGAGGTGTATTTGTTTTTGATCTTTCAGCAGGAGGCCAGTGGATCTCCTACACCGAAGAGACCCAGAGGAAGACCAAAGGGCAGCAAAAACAAGCCGAGCTCTACTGTGTCTCGGGGCAAAGTGAGTAGAAGTGTAATATTGTCGAGGTGCACAAAACCACAGAGACTATTGCGTGCCAAGCTTGCTTGTGCCTTCCGGCCCTTTAAGTTAACCAAAATAGTTACTGTTCATAAATGATGGTTCCTTATTGGCGTATATGCTTTAACGAATCATTTTATTGCACAATATTTTTTTATAATAGGACAAAGATCATTATGAAACGATGAAAGAAATGAACCCTTTAGAGGTTCTGTAGGGAATCTAGGATATTCATCTTTGTGCAGTAGCTTCAACTAATTTTCTGTAAAGTATCTAATATTTGTTATTTTAGTAAAATAACTAAGTAAAACAAACATGCTTGCTTGAATTGATCCTGATCAGAACAGTCTTGTTTTGGCTCGAGTCTGCAGATGCAGTTGCTCAGTTCCGGTTGTTCTCTGACTTCCTGTGGCGTCTGAGCACTGTACATTGCAGGTGCAGAGCAGCGTCTCTGCAGATAAACCCCACCCCCCACTTCCACTCTTCCTTCCCCTCCATCTATTGTCATGACGACAGCTGACCCCACCACCCCTCCCCCATTCCCTTTGTGTGCGCGTGTGTGTTCTCGCGTGTTGCCGCTTGTACCAGCTGTCTCTCCGCTCTGGACCAGGTGGTCGGCGAGTTGAAGTGTTGTTCATGTCCGTTTCCAATATAATAGCCAATGAACTCCATGCCCCTGGGCCTCTTGCCAGCTCCAGCCCAGCAGCGCACTCTGCTGGCCATCTGTATTTGCAGCACTGTGTTTATTCTGTCCTTCTCTTGTCTTTCAGAAAGCAGCAGCGGCTTCGGCACCTGCAGGGACTAAACGCCGAGGACGACCCAAGAAAGCAGTGAGTATTTGTGTGTTGTGCTTTTAAAGGGGCAGTTCGCTAAAATGCAGTTTTATTCTAGTCTGAATTTCACTTGTACTTCTAGTTTCTTCTGTTGAACACAAGTAATCATTTTGGACAATGTTAAAAATCTGTAACCATTGACTTCCACAGCATTTTCTTCTATGGAAGTCAGTGGTTATCAATATAATCGTTCAACAAAAGTAACTCTAATGTTTAGAACCATTTGAGCATTAATGGTGAGTAAATGTTACATTTTTCCGGTGAACTGTCCCTTTAAAGCTTGTCGAGTGTGGCTTTAGTGAAAACCACATGGCTAAATGAGTGTCTGTGTGGTGAGAAGTTGCCATGGGCGACCACAAAAATATTTGGCTGCTTCTCGAGGGGTTTCTGCAGCTCTCACTCCGCCTCCGTTTCCCCTGCAGCTCATGTTTATAAGCGCAGATCAAATATCTCCAAACCCTTTTATTTTGCTGCTAAGTCAGTTTGGCATGTAATGTGGTAGAAGCCGCTACCGCCCCGGTTTCCTCGACAGCTCACAGTGTAGTCATCAGCCTGTGTGTGCGCTGCATTCCTCCGACATGAGCTGCTGCTGGCTCTGGATTCTGCTCTTCTCATTCAGACATGTCTGCAGGAATCCAGCAGGCCCAGTCACACAGACCCCTGGCTGTGACTCACTACTTGTGCTTTTAATCATTTAGACTCAGAAAACTGGGAGCTTTGTGTTTGGTGTAGAATCTTTAGCTTTTATTTACATATATTTTAATGTTTGTAATGCCTTCTTAGGAAATGGCATGGCCAATTTAAAGGCATTTTTAAATTAAATATTGGGAACACTAGATGATTAGTGTTTCTGCTTCCCTTATAGCGCGAGTAATAATACCATTAGTCTAGTTACAGCACATGTGCCAGTCGAAGCTCAGTACATTTAAGATGATTTCATTTAAGATGATTTATTATTTAAAAAGGACAAGCCATTCTCGTGACTAAATTGTCGGCGTTAGCTGTGTTTCCATCCAAAAGTGTGAATTAAATTCTCAAATTGAACGCTTTTTTCCCCCCAGAGTTTTACAAAAGCCATTGATCAAATTTAAAACCCATTACTGTTTTTAATAAGTGACACGTTTAAGGTGCAGTTATGATTGTAAATTATAAACTGAATAAATTATAAACCAAATATATCATCAATGTTGGCTTGTATATAGCCAATGCCTATGATATTGCTTTAAAACAGTAATTTCTGCATATTCTTTTTAATATCACTAATCGTTTCAACAATTCACCAAAAATGAATTTACTCCTCCTCAACTGGGTCCAGAATGTTTGTTAAACACTTTATATTGAACCATTGACTTCCATAGTAAGAAAAACAAATACTATGTCAGGCAGTGGTTACCTGTTTATAATATTTACCCAATACTTTTTTATAGTATAATGTATATTGAATTGAGTGTTGGTAAAGAAACAAAGGGAAGGTGACTGACAATATTCAGTTTTGGTTGAACTGGCCCTAGTAAATCTTAAAATGAAACAAATAGTCTGACAGTTTATTTAACAACACATTTAAATCGCTTTATTAATGTTTATACTTTTATTATTTCTTATATTTGTTTACAGGGTTTCTGTTGGGTCCTAAATGTTTTAAGCCTCCAAATCACAATTGTAGGCCCCTAGTAGCAGGGGTGTCAAACTCAATTCCCTGAGGGCTGCTGCCCTGCATAATTTAGTTCCAACCCTGCTCCAACACACTTACCTGTAGGTTTCAAACAAGCCTGAAGGAATCAATTAGTTTGATCAGGTGTGTTTAATTAGGGTTGGAACTAAACTGCAGGGCCCTTCGGGAATTGAGTTTGACATCCTTGACTTAGTCTTAAATTTACTGAACTATTGTTGGTCTTAAATCATTTTTTTTTATTATTATTATTTTTTTTACGGGTATACATTTTTCTTTGTTCATATATAGCTACCCAATCTGGCCAAATCTGTGCAATCACCGACAATCCATCTAAATTTTTAATAAAAAATGTAATTTTGAACTATTTATCGCAATGGTTTATTTTCCTTACTATAACAGGTTTAAAAGTGCTTCATGTATTTACTTAATGTTATAGTTTTAAATGTTTTATTTAAAGCGTTTATGTTGGAAAAAGTGTATGGATGCAAGTACAGCTTGCTGCTTTTTACACTATTTAATCTATTTTGCTAAGAAATATCTAAAATAAAATTTTTTATTGTTAATCGTTGTTATTAAATGTATTCAATTGTAAAATATTTTTTCTATTACAAAAGGTAATTAACTATTTATCGTAATAGTTTCATTTCTTTCCTATAACATTTGTTTAAAAGTGCTTCATCTGTTTACAGCACCGCGGCCTGGACCAACTGTTGTGCATGCATTTAGTTTATTATAATTTTTAAAATGTTAACCATGTTTTTTTGTTTGTTTTTGTTGGGGGTGAAAAGGAAAAAGTGTATGGATAAACTCTTGCAAAGAAATATTTAATTTATCATTAATTTATTCAATTAATTTATATATATTGTTGTTTTTGATAGGGCAAATAAAAATATTTTCCATCTGGGCCATTTGAAAACTTCTTCTCATTTAGACCTTTATTAGTCTAAAATTATTCATAATGCTCTTACATGTGTCTTGAAACGTGACTTTGTGAAACCTGCAGAAACCCTGTTTCTTTTCTCGTTTATGTAAAGCACCTTGAGTGATCATTGCGTATTTTCATGTGCTCTAGTAATAAACTTGCCTTGCCTAATAGGGGATCATTGCATTCTGGGTTATGATTTACAACTCCTCTACCAAAAAGAAGTGATTTTAATCCTGATTTTTGCTTTCTTTC